GCCGGATTCGAACCGACGTCTTCTAGCTTACCGTGGCAGACGCTATACCAACTATAAAATACAGTGAATAGCGACATCTCTCGCCAGGGCTGGTAACTGTAAAGATATCTAACTGAAAACTTTCATAGATTTCTCATAGATGGCACTTCGTGAGGTCCGCTGGTTCGTTCCGTTGCTTACTTGGTATAGCGTCTGACACGGTAAGCTAGAAGACGTCGATTCGAATCCGGCCGGATCGAAGGAAGTTTTTCTGAGTGTTCGATCTTTGTATTAATAATTATAACAAACTAGAGGATTTAAGTTATTGAAAATTACTCAATCGTAAAAGGAGATGCCTTCTTTTCACCGACTGACACTCACATCTTTATTTACGTAATTAGAAATAGCACATAACAAATGCAAGCAAGCAAGAATCGGCGCGTACTGAGGGAGCGTTCGGGGAATCTTGTTGAAGTGTCAAGATTGAGACACGCGTGTCTCGACCACATCGCCGTTTCATCTAGATTTATTTCTGTGGTATCGAATGTGAAAGACGACATTGGAAAATGTAAGTTAAGCAATACAGACTTACCAGGATCATGCAACGTTGGCGATTGAGTCTCCGCATACCCTAATGGAAACGATTTTACAAAAACGACTGACGTTTTTGCCCCATTTGTGACCCTTAAAAATTTCGCAAACTTTCAGGCGTCTCTCTGTATAATAAAATATAAAAGCCGAGGCGATACGTCTTCGTCTGAGGTGACGCATTGAAGTGGCTTTCTATACACGCCACCGGAATCATATTTTCTTTTACATACATTATTATATAATCATATATTTATGCTCTTGGATTCCCATTAGGATAGATAGAGTCTATCGATTCTTACTTTGCCCAAATCCTAAAGCTGCGTTTCCACCACAGATGTGTTAGGTAGCTAAGAGGTGTGTGATGAAAAAATGCACCAATAGGATTGCTTCATTTTTCTAGACTCCTTTAGCGCAGCTCTGGAATAGGAATGCGTGAGCTCACCGTGGCCACACCGCACCCCACCGCGCACAACTGAAAAGAGTCCGCTACTCCTCACCTCGCACACCTTTGGTGAAACCATCACACCGTTTCGCAGCGCCGTTGTACATCCTCGCACCGCCTAGACACCTCGCACATCTCTGGTGGAACCTAAGCCTAACAAACCGGTCTTCCTTAACTTACATCCGTCTATATTTTCATACAGGGCTTAGTCGTCTCATTACGCACTACAATCTTTTTAAAAACGTTCTCGATTACGATGGCTTTCTAGGATAGTGGGCTATCTTGAAAGCATTTAATTTGAAAGACTAAGTCCAGTCTTTGACCATACCACTGTTGTCATGTGATTATTTTGACTTATAAAAAGCTCTGTGTCTCATTCGCAACAAAATTTAGTAGCAGTAGTTTAATTTATTTTCTGATCAAATCTCAATAATAAGTAAATAATTGAAACTTTTTCGTTGAAAAAAAACTGACGTCAAAAGTTTGCTTAACAGCTTTTTTTAATTTCCATGGTATCTGATTCTGACTTCTTGGTGACAATGGGACTGTTACGGATTCCTTTGTATATTTTCTGGTTGTCCTTGTGACGGTGATTTGTTGGTTACATGTATTGTGTCAAGTGAAAAGTCGACTTTTACTTGCAGAAAAGAATTATTAATTTGTGATAGCCGAAATGAACCCGGAATAATACGTATTATTCGTTTGTACAAAAAAATAATTTTCAAAATCGGTGCACAATTGATGGAGAAACTGGTGAACATGCTTATAAAATTTGAGGATTTCTGATTCCGATTTTCAAGGGATCCCCTCATCAGATTATGACTTGGTGACAATGGGACCACCACGATAATGCACCTTTTTAAACTAAAAAAGAATTTTCAAAATCGGACCACAATTGACAGAAATATCTGAAAACATACGTACAGCCGAACGTATAACCTCCTCTTTCTTTTGAAGTCGGTTAAAAAAAGAACTATTTTTAGATTGTTGTAGTGTGTGGTGGGCTGCTTTTGGTAAGCTAGAGGACGCCCTTCCTTTGCGGAAGTCGCGGATCTTATGGACGGCCAATTAACTTCCACAAGTTAAGAGTTAAGTCGTATCTCCCACAGTGCCTGAAGACCAAGGTCTTTATTCAATGTGTCTTACCGATCCTCACCTATGGTTCGGAAGAAAGGACGCGCGCACAAAGAGCGATAGAGCATTCTATGCTGGGCATATATCTCGTGGATCGTGTACCAAACGTCGAAATACGACGTAAAACGAAGGTCGATGACATGACTTAATAGACGAGAAGACGGACGATGGACCAAAGCAGTCACGGAATGGAATAATCAGATATCGAAGTTATAACAGGTAAAAGAACTAATATTAATTGCTATTTCGGTAATTACTCTAGCAAACCATAAAGTTTTTAATGCCTGGGTCTGTCATTTAAAAAAAATAAACAACTTCAAAAATACGTCACGACAATCGTGTGTGTTATTGTTTGGGCTGGTGATTTCGGTGTTTATTTATTGAAAATATACCGTAAGTAGTGTTTTTTAAGTTTACCTTGAATATAAATGTTTATAAACTATACTTTAAGGAGTAATTTCATTGTAAACGTTAGAACCACTCAAACGGAATATTATTATATTTATCCAAGTACATCAAAAATTTCATTAGTGTTTTTTAAGTGCATGGATTGGCGGTGTATTACTGCATTTTATTTGAGATGTTTTTGTTGGTAGTACGGAGGGTATTTATTTAGCAATGCAGAATAATAATTTTTATTTATAAAAACTTGTATTTAAACTGAATCCTTTTCTAATTTGCGAAACCAAATAGCCGGCATTTTGCGGTAGGAGGAGCGCATCGCGTGAGCGGATATGATGTTGGGTTGGATTATACGATTTTATCTATAAACCTTCTTCGTGGCCATCCACTCCCAATGTTGCCTCTACGTAACTCTTTCGCCAATTTGCTTCCATTCATCAGCTGCAATATTGATACCTTTTCTATACCAGTCAAATAGAAGGAATGTGTGACCTCATATAAAAGAGCTCGTTACGAGGTAACCGAATGGTCCCAACAAATTACCTCAGTTTCGACGCTCCAAGTACGCCATGAGACACGCGTTACAGATGATTAATGTGGCTCTTACTTAATAGAGTGGCTTGTAGGGTATAATAGTACCTAGTATTGTACGTATCAGATACTTCCTACGCTACTTTATTTCATCATCGTGAATATCAGTTATGATTATGTTCGGTTCTCGCCTCTAAAAGAAGTTTGTCATAGTCCACTACACTGGCTCACACGATTTTCTAGGTCACATCAGGAGGTTTTAGCTGTTCTAACAACAATTTTATTACATAAAATGGAAAAAGAAATATTTGGGAGGCGTCAGAATTTCAGAGAATTTACTGTATTATTTTTATTATTTAAAAAGGACTTTCATAAAAATTTACCTAATATTTCAATTTTGTTTTAACACCGTACACGTTTACAGAGGTTCTAAATTGGATCTAAAAGTCTGTTTTCTTTGAATAATATATTTAGATAGCAATAAATAAAGAACATGGTATCTAAATATGCTTAATATAGAAAAATAGTAAAAAAATTACGTTAAGGAAAATGAAATGAAATTTGACTGTCAGTCAGTTGTGACCTGTGCGTCTACCACGAGTTTACTATGACAACTGTCGCTAACGATCGCGGAAATTACGTCACAATTTTGTATGGCAAATCATACAGCGCCGCTAGAGGTCACAAGAAGAAACAACATTCTGTACACAAATATTTTCCGCGGTCGCTAGTGATAACTGTTACCGTAATCTCATGGAAGGTGGACTGTAAAGAGTCGAAACATTAGTTAGTTTCAAAACAACAAATACACGAAATATAATAAATAAAAATAATTTCAATCCCTATTTGATATTTGAATTAATACTTTATTAACTTAAAAGTAAGAAAATGCCACCAAAGGACTTGTTTGTAATATTTTTACTAAATAATTTTTTATAGTAATATTGTACCTGCTACCGGTAATCTGTGACAGCCTCGTCGTGTCACATCTCTATATTTTTGTCGAGGACATGAGTTTTTCTACGCGGAAAGTTTATTTTTTCCTTACACGCTTTTTGTTTTGTATTATTCAATGTCTGAGTGACGGTGGGGCGTGAAAAAAGAAAACTTGCCGTTTCCCAGAATTAGGTGGCGGTGACAAATTGTTATGTGCACAGGGGTAGAGGTTACTACGATTACAAACTCGTACAGGTTAAAATACTCTGTTTTACCTTTCATCCCATTGTTGGTTTAAATAGAAATTACTCTAAAATCCAGTGTCGCGGGTGTCATGAACACATTTTGATGAAATTACAGACACGTGGGACTTGTAAACATGCCTCATAGTAACAGGCGCAGTGGCAGCGCCCCTCAGATCTTTGCGATTTAAAGCTCTAAGTGGCACTGCAACTGTTGGGGGCAGGCGTGTAGCCTACCACCAGGCACACGAATTGTTCGTCCGTCATTTCATATGAGTATATCAAATAAAAAGAGCGTGATGCTATTTTTAACAGGCTGCGCGCAGATCTGGTTAATGCGCCGCAAACCCCCTGTTTGCGAAAGGCTGCTGCTGAAAGTGCGATCTGTTCGTGCGTTAATCGCGTACCACAGATGCTTATTTGCCTACAAAGGCGCACATAATCGCGCGCAAGAGCGCGCGTACAGAGCAATAGCGGTGCATTCACTAGATTTGTACGCACCCTTAATAGATCAATAACGTCGCGCCGCATTACAAGTGGAGTAAGAGATGATGCTTCTTATAGAGATTGTTATAATTGGAGAATGTGACAGGCATTTATACGAGAGATTAGATAACTTTTTTAAAATATATTCTGTAATTATGACAATGTATTCTGAGATTATGCAAAACTGAACTGACCTTTTGAGTGTTGACCTCCCGCGTGGAGATGCCCATCTTTTCGTGGTGACGCAGCTGCACAGGGTAGATGATCTGGTAGTAGTGCGCGCCGATGTTGCGCACCAGTTCCTGGTTCTGTCTGTACTCGCGTAGCAACCGCTCCACTTCACCTAAAAGAAGAAAAAAAATAACAAATATTTTTTTAAACATGTAATTAAAAAAGTTATAATTTGGTCATAAAGTTTTTTTTTATTTTTTATATAAAAAGCAGTAGGAATTTGTTAGGAATGCAGTAAAAACCGGAAATTTTTGTAAAAACTTCTTAAACTTAAGAAGTTAACGGCGTTATACCCAGCACATACTTAGAGCCATATTTTTGATAGCGTGATTATTAACATCATTGACGAAATCAAGTGTGGAAGGGCCGCACAACTCAAAAAGGGTTACACGTGACGTCCTAACGGTAGCCCCAAGTACCGTTGGAGTGACGAAGTGGAAAAAGACCTCATTGCCGAACATGTTGAGTCGCATACACTACATTGATATAGTGTACCTAACTACGCGACTTCACATTCCTTCATGTGGGATAACCCTTTTTCCGGTATCGAATTTCTTCAATCTCGAGAACCGCATTATTTAATCTGTATCTGAATGCACTTTTGATAATGCCATGGTTTAGTCGAAAATTTTATAGAATAAATTAACAAAATAAAGTCAATTCCAGCACAAAGGAGACGCTGTTTTTTTCAAACGGTACCGGAAATCCAGATTACCCCATGGGTAGGTAGTTACATAGGAAAAATTATTAAACATAATGGAAAATTTGTGGCTAAAGAAAGCCTCCGTTCCCGCTTATTCTTTGTGCGATCGCTCGTGTACGACTTTGCAACAATGCTTTGGACAAAATATCTACCCTATTTTGTTCAATTTAAGCAAAAGACATTTCCATTCATTCATTTGCCATTCATGGTATAACAATACAACCATTACGCTATTTATAAACCTGTATAGTTTTTGATACAGAGTATTTTTAAGGAGGTTTAGTACTCATTTTGATTTTTTTAAAGGCGAATGAAGTTTCAGTGTTCATTGGAAAAAATGCCAAAACAATGTTTAAATAATGTCACACTGTGCTGCATACAGCACATTGTGACAATATTGTTACCATAGTAACAATATCGTTGCTTACAAGTAAAGAAAAAATATGAAATATAATATCAGGAGTTTCATAATGGCCACCGTAAAGACATAACCAATTCCCGCGACAAAATGTCAAACAATTAAAAAAAAAATGGCGGGATTTTCTACTTACATTTTGACACAAACTAAGTTCTAGTTTAAGTATTATTTATTGCGTTTTGAGTTTCTTAATTATTTGTTACTTGTTTAAGCTATGGCTCTATAACCAAATAAATAAAATCAGAAAATTAAACAAGCGAGGAAAAATTACAATCTATCTATCTAGCAGTATGGCTAATTAGATGTCTTAGCTTGTCCCGAAGGACGAAAAATTTGACTACTATAAAAAAGGCACATGGGACTTGTCAACTTATGTCTCAGGGTGACTGGCGCACTGGCAGTGAGCCTCAGATCTTTATGATTTAAAACTCCAAGTGGCACTGTTATGGACAGGTCCCGTCACATGTTTTGTAAATTGTTGTAAATTATTAGCGCCATTAAAAAACTTTCACGCATGAGTAGTTTTATAAGCTTTAACACGAAATCGGGCATGATGTTTCGGCTTTAGAACGCGTGTGGACAATAAAAGCATTCTATTGCTGAACACAGGCCCTCTCTAGAGTAATTTTCCAACTATTTACGCTATCGCGATATTTACATAACTAATTTGTCTATAAAGTTTTAAGCGACAACAACCCCCCGTCGTTTCCCAATTTCAATTTCAATAAATTTAAAATGCCGAGCTTCAATATTCTACAGAAGCTTTCGAATTTGAAGTAACCGTGAACCCATCAGGGTTCCCGATCAATTGCCTGCCGAAGGCTGTCAGTCAAAATAATAATTAATTACGGGACCCTTCGTCTCGGGAATTAATAAGCTGGCTCGGTATAGCAGAACACTGTTCCTGACTTGTTCTCGTATAATGGACTTTTCAACTTGTAAGGGTTCATTAGACGTTGTCTAGTACCTGAAATACTTGTCTTGTAAATGCTATATTTAGGGTTGATTCTGGGTACAGCCTTCCCTCTAGAATTCTCTTATACAAATTCCTATTTAACATTCAACATCATCATTGTCTTCACTAAGCAGAGGATTCGAGCTAGGTTGAAGGTCACACGTTTTCCAAAGGTTTTGAGGCTTCTTCAACGAGTAGGTTTCATCGCGATGTTTTCTTTTGTCGGTTCTTGAACTTGAGTCCTTGACTCCGGACGACGAATAATTCGTTTATTTGCTTAAAAAATAGTATAACAAAGATGTAACAAGAGACAGTACAAACATGTTGCGCATAAATTAAATAGCATGCAAATGTCTAGTTATGTTAATCAGACTTCCACAACACAAGGATAAAAAAGTGTCACAAACATGTCAAGTTACAAATTAATTTAATCAAGAATCATAAGTCTTCAAGATCTTCTTATATCTCATTTCCTGTCAAATTTTTCGTTTAGGTCATCAAAATTATTTTTGTTTAACCACTTGCACAGCTTTGTTTTGAATAAACTTAAGTGTAATAGTTTAATCACAAGTGGTATTTTATTCTATATATCAACACACATTTTTAAACAACTTTTACTGTATTTAGCAGTCATAGGAATAGTGTCAAGTGCAAGTCTGTTTGGGTTTCTGCGGAGTCTTAGTATTCACATCACAGGCTTTCTTAAACAAATATGTGTGTTTTCGTACAAAGATACAAATTTCCTCCTGATTATTATTTTTTTATTAATGATGGATTCTTTACAATTTATCCATGGTAGGCGTTGAATAACAATTATATGGACGTCGGGTCCGCGCTAAAAAGTGTACAGACCGTCATTCACGCTTTAGTCTTCGTAAATTCAACGTTTTAGCTTTTTCAAATTCCTTTACATGTCACTACGTTTAAATAGGTTGACTTGGGACATTTTTTTCGTGGTTTTTGTATTAGACCCGTCGTCCATTTATTTGTAAGTCAATGATGGTAGGTGCGAGAATCAAATTTAGAACACGTTTAAAGTCCCACTGCTGGGCTCGAGTTTCATCTAAAGTTCAAGACGGATTGGAGACGTTACACGATTTTCAAGGGTTGTGATCTTTCCTTAATGTGTTCTTCATCGGTAGCAAAAGATGCTACTTAATATCCACAAATGTACGTAAAATAGGAAATAAAGGTCCTTTCCGCCATACCGATTCAAGCTATTGATAAGCAAACTTGATTAAAGTTATGTTTTTCAACGCAGGAAGTTTTCAAGTTGGGGCAATTTTCACCCCAAGAATTCCATATCTAGACTTTTATCAACAAAGCCAAGTGTTATCAAACTTCATTTTCTCACCCTTTGGTTATGAAAACTGATTTAAACCACTTCAAAATCTCAAGTGGATGGGAAATAGCAAAGATGAAATTTTAAAATAAAATACACGACTTACAATTCTTTTAGTAAACAACACGACATCTAGAACATTGAAAAACCATTAGCGTCGGCAAACACCTATATTTTTATCGAATTGCTTTTACTTCTGAGTGTTTGACGAATCTGGCAACCTTTGACGACCTCTTTGGCCCAACGGCTAGCGCTGTGGATGATGAGGAGGTCTCTGCTTCGATTCCCGGTAGGTGCAACTTGGGAAAAGCTTGCTTTTATATAAAAAAAATACTTGCCAGAGATGCTAAACGTATTAATGTACTTACTATGCGTCTTTTTTGAAGACGGAGTAAAATTTCAGTTAATTGCGCAGAGGTGTTGGCCGCTTGCGAGCAGCTAGTGATTGCAGTTGATAAATATTCTATCGACTATCGATGGAATATTAGTCACGTTTATGGAATAAATAGCCGAACTTGTTTCAATTGAATCATCCTCGACACCATTATTCATGCAATTACGGAGCACAAGTTCATTTGAATTTTCAATTTTTGTAAGTTCATACATACATACACTGTTAACTGCCTTCGTGGCCAAACGGTTAACATGCCGGACGATTAACATGGCACCGATTACTATCTTTAGAACTATGTTTATAAAAATACAAAGAGGAGATATATTTTAAAGTTTTTCATTTTAATTCAATATAGACAATCAAATCCGGTTATTCTTGTTAAAATAAATATATGAATAAAAATTGATCTCGATATTCCTAGGCCAACTATCAAAACAAGAATATAGAAGGTAATAATGCAATTAGCAATCATTAGAACGTCGGCGTCGTTACATTCACAATTCAGTCATTTTCATTCTTCATTCAGTTCAATCATTCTTTCCCAATTTATCGATAAAACTATCGATAAAACTATCGACAACAACTACATAACTTTTTTAAATTTTATGAAAACCGGCGACCCTATAAATGTCATTTTACTCCGTCTTCAAAAAGACAGACTACACCTGTATTACAAGACGTCAAGACGTATTAGTATACTTACGACCCCCTACTGTTCTACAAAGCATTTCATATCACGAAATCAACAATTATAATTTCCGTAACTCGTCAAGATCGAATGAAATAACATAACAAGATTGAACGTAGTTATCCAGACAGAGTAAAACGTCAACTCACGGAATAACAAATTAATGGAAATGGTATTAAGCGGCTTTACTATCGAAACCGGTGTCGCCACACGCGATCGAGTATATAACCAGAAATAGAGACGAAATAAGGACCGTACATCTCTGGCAACTTATCAGGCAAATGGACCTTATATTACTTTTAAACTCTCGTTTGCACTGAAATCGCAAATTAGAAAGCTGAAATAGTACAGCGCCAACAACTGACCTGTGTGTACGTCTCCGTTTATTCCAAAAGTATTCTGAGTTTATTGTAATAAAGATAATATTTCTAACTGTGGGGGGTTTTTCCATCTAATTACAAAACAAACGGAATCAGATTTCATAATAGCAAAGCTCAAGTTAAATTGGTAGTTTGAGGTGAAACAATTGACAACACCCGTCAATTGTTTCAAACTCGGGCTGGCCAATCGGATTGTAGTTGTCACCGTAATGATTTGGCAGAATAGTTTTCG